TGTCTATCTGTGCATATACCCTGAGAGCTTACTTTTAATTTTCGATTTAGGGGTAGTTATGACTGGTGGTGTAAAAGTTACAAGCGCATTAATAACCCTCGTGTAGCTGATGTGTTTTAAACCAAATAAAACAAACATTAAAGTTGATAAAAACCTGGAGAGCAATAACCCGCTGAGTATTAAACTTTCTGGTATCATTTTTTGACTTAAAAAATAACTAGATAAATGTGTTTTCAGATTTTAAAAAAATCATATGCAACGTAGTTAACAAGGAGACAACAGGTCATACAAAAAAAATGGATAAATTAAGGGAAATGGATACGAATACATTCGCTTAGGACATCTTGACTGATGATGTTTCGGTCCTAGGACCTTGGTGACTTCAAATACAATGAACAAGTTGAATAAATGCATATAGGAATTATGTATAGAAGTGTCGCGCATGTTTCCTTACACCTGACGCTCCTGTTCACCTAGCGGTAAGAAAATACCTGGGGTGTTAGTCGATTGTTGTGGGTCGCATCCTGGGGGTGGTAGTACACCCTTTTTTGAAATGAACTGAGAAAGGATAACAGCTCTTAGCCTGTAAATTCAACTGTGTAAAACAAAACAAAACAAAAAAAAAAAAGTGCCATACAATGATGATTAGAAGAAAGTGAAAGCAAGACAGGAATGCAGAGCGTGTAATAAAACACCGACTGGAATAATTATAAATGCAAGATTATAACCCGACGGTCATGTAGACTAAACAGTAAGAAACTAATGTGCTACACTGGCGCACACGTGTAGATGGAGAAATGCTAAAAACGTTGCTTAACCCATAACAGACGTAAAATAAATATGTAGGTGTAGTGTGCTATCTGCCATATTGATAGAAATGGTCTAACATCGTAAACTAAGTACCCACTCTGAGTCCGCATTAGTTATCCTTATCCCCTCTCCAGCCTCCTAAATTATTATAATCAAGGGGGAAGCACTAAACCCGTAGGAGTATACAGCGCCTGGGGGGATGTGGAAGGTATTCAGGCTAAATTCAGGGAACTGGAGCACAGATCCAATTCCCTAGATCAAGAGCCCTTCACCAGCGTCAAGGAACCTTCCTTGAGGGGCCAACCTCCTACAGTACTTCCTTGACTCAAGCCTCATTACATTATACCTCCAAATATTCATCATACCCTACCTCACACATTCCACAACAGGATATGTACATCAGTGTACATACACTTTGACTTTAATCTTTAGGGATTAAAGTATTCTTGATTGGTGATGAATAGTGACATTCAGCCTTAATGACCCTCGTGTAGTGGCTAAGCTTTAAACCCCATTAACATTCCAACTCTCCCTACCCTCACCTATGACCACTGATGTCTCGTCTTACATATATACAAACGAAATTCTCTCTCTTCCCATCATAACACATTTCCTCATATACGACTGGCACCTATGCTCCCACTTAACACATCGTGTATTTACTATCCAGAGTCTGCCGAAACTCAACCCACACTCCACGGGGACAAGGTGGAAGAGTGGTCAAACAAGTGATTACTGAAGTTCAACATAAATTAGTGTAAGGTCATGAAAACTGGAGATGGAGAGGGAAGACCAGAGACGAAATACAACTTGAGAGGCGAAATATTACAAATACCGGTGAAGAAGGATCCTGGAGTGAACATCACAACGAACGTATCACTAGAGGTGCGCTTTAATTGAATAAAATCTACAGTATATGCATGGTTGACTAATCTCGGAACTGCCTTCAGAAACCCTAATAAAGAATCTTTTAGAACTCTTTACACGACATGTGTGAGACCTGTTTATGGAATATGCAGCGCTAACATAGAGCCCTCACCTGATAAAGCATGTACAAAAACCTCTTAGAAGTTCCTGAGGTTTGCAGAAAGATCAGCCCAGAAGCTTTGCAAATTGCGAATTCTTTGTGTATAAAGTATGTAATGTTTAGTTAAATTTAAACACATCTCTTTGTGCAGTTTTATACCAGACGTGTGTTTACCAGTGTTCTATACCGGGCGTATATTTACCAATGTTTCATAGTAGGCGTCTTATACCGGGCAAGATTGCTGATTTCTCTCATGATCATGTAAGATGACGGGTTACCTCTGGCAAGACTTGCTCTCTTCTGTCTCATGAACATATAAGATGACACAAATCTTGTAAACTTCCACTCTACGTAAACATTCACTCTACGTTTTAATTGCCTGTATTTCTTAATTTTTCTTATTCCTGTAATATTTTCAAATACAGAACTCAGGATGCGGGCGTTTTCTCGGGATCATTTGTAATACGTGAACATTCTTTTATAAAACAAGTAGATTTATTTATAAAACTAAAAGATTCGTTTGTAATACGAGTAAATTTATTTATAACAGTGGTGAAAAAATTCGATGGGGAATTAGTGAAGTAGTTCACTCAGAAATAGCCGAACTAATGTGTGTTAAGAAAACGATTGATGTTGAGAGCGAGCTGCAAGAATTGTACTTACCCATCCAATGGCCTTTATTTTCCGTGCACTGTGTGAGTGTGATGTTGCTGCTGACGAAAGGCAATGAAGACGAGGTGTCCCCAGGAGGCGGCGGGGTAGGGATCTAGCATGAGTACTCCGTCGTGACGACCAGACCTCTGCAAGGAGCCATCAGGTAGCCTGGCCACATAACGCTGCCTTCCCGCCTGCGTCGCCCACACCCGCGTCAGACTCCGTGGAACCAGCTGGGCATCGCGACACGCCGCCTCCGTCGTCCACGAGGCTGCCTCGCACGGCAGCGACTGCAAGAAGTCGTACACCGTCGCCGCCCACTTGGCTGTGCGCGCATTCATCGGTGCATCGTCGTCTTCCTGCTGAAATGTTTCCACTACATCTTGGGGACTCCGGCTCGACATTTCGTGGTCCCGCCGCGGCTGCTGTTGCAGTTGCAGGTCGGGAGCGGCAAGAACCACTGTTCTGCCAGCTATCAACGCAACAAGGACACACCTGTAACTCATCACCACCCGCTGGCTACTTGTTAAAACACGTGTTACAACCATCAGTCACAACGTGTTATCACCACCTAGTATTGACACCACTAGCGTCTCCTTCACGCTCGTAATTTGTGTTACGAAGACAGTAACAGTAGCTGATGTCTGCAGACACTGAATACGTAGGTAGCTGGTGTTTATGTATAGCGTGTGTGTGAGGAAGGGTGCAGCGCCCAGTGTGCTTCCCAGCTCTCCACAACACACACTGGTCGCCGCCCAGGCTGCGCTTCAGCCTATAAATGCTGAGGTGGGCAGCAGTACCGCGCGAGCTGTGATAATCGCACCACACATCAAACACACCGACTTCTCACAACTCCGGCGGCTTCTTTTGATGTATGAACTGGTCGACTCTCTCATGGGGATGCTCCCCCCCTTCTTCACCCCACACAGCTGCTTTAATTCCCCCTTCCCCACATTGCTCCCTTCAAGGAGGTGGGGGGTTACCATGATGTCGTTGAAAGGCTCTTGATCCAAGAAATTTGAGCTGTTCCCTTTCACTCAATAAATCGATTACCTCCAACTGATTGGGTTTGGGTGCATGTCCCATGAACAGTAATCCGCCATCCCGCAATAGCAACCCCCTCTCTCATTCTATTACACCCTTCCTAATACAGACATCCTCCTCTCATATACTTACCCCTCCCCTAATTGACCTCCCTCTCAATTACTTATTCCCTCCCCTAATACTGACGCCATCCAGTCATTACTACTTTAACACCCTTAAATCTGACCCCCTCTCATACTAAACTTCCGCTAGTGCCCCCTCCTCTCATACACATTAACCGCCATCCCGCAATACTCACCCCCTCCTCTCGTACTACTTAACCCCTCTTCCCTAATACTGACACCCTCCTCTCATACTGCTTAACCCCTCCCCTAATACTGACCCCCTCCTCATACTACTTACCCCTTCCCCTAATACTGACGCCCCACTCCTGTCTTAACCCCAAATACTGACTCTCAACTAAACCATTCCCCTAATACTGACCCACCCTCCTCATACTACTAACCCCCTCCCCTATACTGACCCCCCTCTCTCATACTACTTAACCCCCTCCCCTAATACTGACCCTCTCCTCTCTCACTACTTAACCCCCTCCCCTAATACTGATCCCCTCCTTCATACTACTTAACCCTCTCCCCTAATACTGACCCCCTCCTCTCATACTACTTAACCCCCTCCCCTAATACTGATCCCACCTTCTCATACTTAACCCTCCCTAATACTGACCCCTCCTCTCATACTAAACCCCCTCCCTAATACTGACCCACCCTCCTCTCGTACTACTTAACCCCCTCTCCCTAATACTGACCCTCCCTTCATACTACTTAACCCCCTCCCCTAATACTGACCCCTCCTTTCATACTACTTACCCCTCTCCCTAATACTGACCCCTCCTCTCATACTACTTACCCCTCCCCTAATACTGACCCTCTCTTCTCATACTACTTACCCCCCTCCCCTAATACTGACCCCCTCCTCTCATACTACTTAACCCCCTCTCCCTAATACTGACCCCCTCCTCTCATACTACTTAACCCTCTCCCTAATACTGACCCCCTCTCATACTACTTAACCCCCTCCCCTAATACTGACCCCCTCCTCTCATACTACTTACCCCTCCCCTAATACTGACCCCTCCTCTCATACTACTTACCCCTCTCTCCTAATACTGACCCCTCCTCTCATACTACTTACCCCTCTCCCTAATACTGACCCTCTCCTCTCATACTACTTACCCCTCTCCCTAATACTGACCCCTCCTCTCATACTACTTACCCCTTCTCCTAATACTGACCCCCCCTCCATACTACTTAACCCCTCTCTCCTAATACTGACCCCTACTCTCATACTACTTACCCCCCTCCCTAATACTGACCCCTCCTCTCATACTACTTACCCCCTTCCCTAATACTGACCCCCTCCTCTCATACTACTTATCCCTTCCTATACTGACCCCCTCCTCAACTACTTACCCCCCCTCCTATACTGACCCCTCTTCCATATCACTACCCCCTTCCCTAATACTGACCCCTCCTCTCATACTACTTACCCCTCTCCTAATACTGATCCCTCCTCTCATACTACTTACCCTCTCTCCTAATACTGACCCCTCTCTCATACTACTTACCCCTCTCCCTAATAACTGACCCCCTCCTCTCATACTACTTACCCCTCTCTCTAATGACTGACCCCCTCCTCTCATACTACTTACCCCTCTCTCCTAATACTGACCCCTCCTCTCATATACTTACCCCTCTCTCCTAATGACTGACCCCCTCCTCTCATACTACTTACCCCCCTCCCTAATACTGACCCCTTCCTCTCATACTACTTACCCCTCCTCCCCTAATACTGACCCCTCCTCTCATCTACTTACCCCCTTCCCTAATACTGACCCCTCCTCTCATACTACTTACCCCCTCCCCTAATACTGACCCCTCCTCTATACTACTTACCCCTCCTCTCCTAATACTGACCCCCTCCTCTCATACTACTTACCCCCTTCCTAATACTGACCCCTCCTCTCATACTACTTACCCCCCTCCCTAATACTGACCCCTCCTCTCATACTACTTACCCCTCTCTCCTTATACTGACCCCCTCCTCTCATACTACTTACCCCCCTTCCCTAATACTGACCCCTCCTCTCATACTACTTACCCCCCTTCCCTAATACTGACCCCTCCTCTCATACTACTTACCCCTCTCTCCTAATACTGACCCCTCCTCATAATACTACTTACCCCCTCCCTAATACTGACCCCTCCTCTCATACTACTTACCCCTCTCCCTAATACTGACCCCTCCTCTCATACTACTTACCCCCTTCCCTAATACTGACCCCTCCTCTCATACTACTTACCCCTCTCCCCTAATACTGACCCCTCCTCAATACTACTTACCCCTCTCCCCTAATACTGACCCCTCCTCTCATACTACTTACCCCTCTCTCCTAATACTGACCCCTCCTCTCATACTACTTACCCCTCTCTCCTAATACTGATCCCTCCTCTCATACTACTTACCCCTCTCTCCTAATACTGACCCTCCTCTCATACTACTTACCCCTCTCCCCTAATACTGACCCTCCTCTCATACTACTTACCCCTCTCCTAATACTGACCCCTCCTCTCATACACTTACCCCTCTCTCCTAATACTGACCCCTCCTCTCATACTACTTACCCCTCTCTCCTAATACTGACCCCTCCTCTCATACTACTTACCCCTCTCCCTAATACTGACCCCTCTCTCATACTACTTACCCCCTCCCCTAATACTGACCCCTCTCTCATACTACTTACCCCCTCTCCTCCTAATACTGACCCCTCTTCTCATACTACTTACCCCCTTTCTCCCTAATACTGACCCCTCTTCTCATACTACTTACCCCTCTCTCCTAATACTGACCCCTCCTCTCATACTACTTACCCCTCTCCCTAATACTGACCCCTCCTCTCATACTACTTACCCCCTCTCTCCTAATACTGACCCCTCTTCTCATACTACTTACCCCCCTCCCCTAATACTGACCCCTCTTCTCATACTACTTACCCCCCTCCCCTAATACTGACCCCTCTTCTCATACTACTTACCCCCCTCCCCTATTACTGACCCCCTCTTTCTCCCCCTTAATCTATTTGTACTTACAGAAGCAGAGTTACATTCGCGATATCATGCCTTTAGTGTTTACTTGGTCATATGTTTTAAACTTTCCACTGGTGGTGGCACGTACTGCCTCTCCCACCATCATACTTCAGCGACCTACTATGTTTAGAATGAGAATAAAGAAGCACTATTGTAGGCCTGTAAACATCAACCTATTCTCTCACACGTATTTCTCAAACCTGTTTTTTATTTGTTACACAAAATGCTCTCCTCAGTGATACTGTTTAACAAACTGCTCAACTCATACACACTTCTGTTGCAAAACCAGACTTCTCCTATATAAATCCTTTCTAACTATATACATATTCGTCTAAACTTTTATTGCTAAGGGGTTGTCTTTGTGAGGTATTTTCAAAATTCTCTGTTTAATATCCCCTTTATTTATTCCGGTTTTCCATTTAAACGTCAGTCGTATCCGTCCTAAATGTGTTCACCATTTTATCGTATCTTCATATGAAAGATATGTAATGGAGGTCATTAACGTTGGCATCCTTCACTGTAGATTTTAAAACATTTGTTATTTTTCTAATACGGAGGACAGTTCTCTGAGACATAATCTGACCTAATGATTATGAATAGAATTGAATAAGACAAGTGCAACGCTTAGATATCTCTAATGCTGAAACATTCCGCCTGCACAGCAGACTTCTTCGGTGACTATCGTGCAGTGATACTGGAAAAGGTGGATAACTCGACAGATTCCTTTATCATTTCCTGATTAGCCGGGCTGTGGTATACGCTGGACTGTGGAGGGCGGGCACCAAAGGCTCGAGTGATGAGGTCAGCAACCAGGAGGTCTGGTCTGGGACCGAATTGCGGGGATAGTGACCTCCGAAAGCGACAACTCGTAATTACTGGTAAGATGTTCGGACAGTCATATTGATACCATAAAAGTACGTCTCCACTTCTTCTATTGTCTCTAATACGAGTCACCTCTATATTCAGCTGAAGAATCCTACTCTGCAGGCGATACATTTCGTCAATAGAGAAACCCAGGTGTAGCATCTGTCTTATTTATCAGCTTCTCTGTACCTCGTAACTATTAATATAAGGAAGAGAGTTGTACTATATAACCTGCGACCTTTATTAATTGTTGTTATGAAGTCAAGAGCTTTATTACAGTCGTTGTTGCCAACACTCGGGCGTTGTTGTCTTTAATTTTCTGTTAACCAGACCCAAGACTTTTCCGCATTCGGTTAAAGTTCTGTAACATTTAGTTTATAAATATCGTGTTTATTTTCTTTACCCATGCACTCCACCCCAGGCCAGACTCGTGGAACTCTACCCATGCACTCCACCCCAGGCCAGACTCGTGGAACTCTACCCATGCACTCCACCCCAGGCCAGACTCGTGGAACTCTACCCATGCACTCCACCCCAGGCCAGACTCGTGGAACTCGATATTCCTCAAGAATTGTAAGAAAACCTTAACATGTGCCTTAAATATGCTATGGAGAAGCCCAGACGTGAGTCATCCCACAGTTCTTAAAAACCACTGATATTTTCCCACTCTACAAAGGTAGTAGTAAACCAATAGTAAAACACTATAGACCAATAGCTCTCTCATCCCATATTTTCAAGATCTTTGAAAGAGTATTAAGAAGCAAGATTACAACTCATGGAATCATAGCATCAACACAACCCAGGTCAACATGGGTTCAGAACATGGTCGCGCATCCCTGCTTGCATGCGCAAGTGGCAGCCAGTCATGTTAATTAACCAAGA